AAAAAACCCATAAACTGAAACCGATTCCCACCTCTAATATTTAAGATTGAAGTCTTTTTTTAATTGTGAGTCCAGACTTTAGTAGCAACCATGTTGCATTTGAGGTAAGCAAGAACTGCCAAAATCTTAGAAATAGTTTGGTAGGGGGCTGGTCACATCCTGTTTGTTTGATCGATTATGGTGCTTTCCGATGCGCATTGGACCTTGACCGAACCTCTTAATAGAAAATAGGGTTTTGCATGGGTCGGTTTTGGTCCTAAACTCAACCCAACCGCTTTCTGGTTTTTAGAACCTAATAGGATCGGTTTAGAGTTGATTCGGTTTCTCGGGTTCTGAGGTCGGTTTAGATGGTTTTTCGGTTTCTTGGGTTCAACCCATACACTGATCATAGGTTCTGGGTTTAAACCCATGGGTTTTGGGTTCCAATCCATTTTCCATAAATGAAGCAACAAGTTAAATACTTCAAAAAAACACCAAATTTAAGTCAAATACTTCAAAAAACATAAGTCTTACAACAAATATTCTATTACAAGTTACAACCAAAGCTCGAAATAGTCTATTACAACCAAAACACAATCAAGTATGGGTGGTTTCTCGGGTTAGATGGGTTGGTTTCTTGGGGCGGTATTTCGTTTTTAAGGATGTGTTGGTTTCCCGGGTTGGATGGGTCGGTTTCTAGGTAAAAACCGAAACCGAACCCGATTTTTCGGTTTTTCGGTTTTGCTTCAGTTTCGGGTTTTTCGGTCTTGGTTTCGTCGGTTTATCGGTTTTTTGGTTTTGGTTTGCTCACCCCTAATAGAAAATGCACCCCCTTGGTCTAAGTAACCCACATAAGTAAACATAAGCCCTAATCCCAAAGCCTTAAGACCTAGCTAAGCCCTATGTCGTAAGCCCTAAGCCATGAGCCCTGATCCCTAACCCCAAGCCATAAGCCTTACAAGCTACGCCATAAGCCCTAAGCCTTAAGCCACAAGCCAACACTCTCGCTACCCCACCCCACACTCACACACACATCCAACCAACTCTACCCTGCACCCACACTTATCCCACCCACCTCCACATCCACACCCATACTCCCACTCTCACCCTATATACTTTGAGTTTATTCCAAGTTTAACTTATTATATTTTGAGTTTACTTAACTAGTTATTGTTATGGTTAAATGTGATAATTGTTTCAGATATATTTAAACTTTCACCACAAACTGATAATCATAAGCTTTTACAAGAAGTATCATATTCATTTTTGTGATAATGATATTATTTTTATATAATTTTTAAAATGATTTTTTATAAGTTATTTGATAAATATGATTAATATAAAATATAATATATATTTTTAATTTTTTATATTATTTTAAATATAAATATAATTAAAAATATTTTATATAACTATTTCAGAAGACGGACGCTATCCTTAAAAACGTTTCACTATCTCCGACGATAAAAAAACCTAACACCACTAAACCTAAAACGGCGGTCCGTCACAATCACAATTGATCGACTCTACTTACCTGATTCCTTCTTTCTCCATCTCTCAATCGATCGATTTCTTCAACCATCAAGCCTCTCACTACGACTGATCGATTCCTTCCACCATCAAGCCTCTAACTACGACCGCTCACAACCAACAACATCGTATATGTCTAGACCTCCGCCTCAAGTAGTGGCGGAACTGGCTTGGAGCCAGTAGTAGCCGGTGCACCTCTTAAACATTTTGTAACAGTGTAACTTTTTTTTTTAATATACTAATGCGCTAGTAAAAAATTTATGTTTACTTCTAGATTATATAAAGAATGAAAACTAACTAATGTAAATATCTAATAGCCCATTACCTAATAATCTACTAACCCAATTATATTTTTAATTTATTGGGCTGATAATAAATAAGAAATTGTTATTTAATAAGCCCATTACTTAAAATAAAAATAAAAGCTTAAAAGGCTCATTAATTGGAATTGGTGAGGGTATACGTGCACAATGGAATTGGGGAAAAGAAAAAAAAAACAAATCTTGTCTCTTTTGTTTAATGCGGCCACTGTGAAGACAAAAGGCAAGCAGAGAATCTTCATTTTGTCTTTTTTTTGCCAAATCAACTTGTCCACTCTCTCAATTTGGCTTCAATTTGACTTCTTCTTTCTCTTGGCTTGGCTTGGTGGAACTTTTTAGCATATATCAAGAATGAAACAAGTATTTCTTTAAACCCTTCTTTTAATGCTTTGCTAGTTTGTTGTAATCAATACTTTCATAATTTATGTATTTCTTTAATCCCTTATTCCCTTATCATATTTACTTATTATTAACTTATTATTAATTGTTATTGTTAATTTGTTGATGAATGATGAAACTAGGTTAAAATTCATAATTGTTTGTGAATTTGTAGGGTTCCATTGTAAATTTTTGTAAAAGGAAACCGGATGTTGGTAATAGTGATGAAAGTGGTGGAGTAAAAAGACCACAACCTACTATACCACCGCAACCACAACCTACTCTACAACCACAACCACAATCTACTACTCCACAACCACAACCTACTCCAACATGTTTTGATATTAATAATCTTCCTTTGGACCCGGCGGATAGACCAAGAATTACAACCTATCACCCAAATCAAATTGATGAAATAAGGAGAGCATATTGGATCCGAGGACCTTGTCAACCAAAAGGTCATAAATTTAAAATAACCAAGATTGGTACTAAGAATAGACGTTTTGTAAAGGAATGGTTTGATGATTTTGATTGGTTAGAGTATAGCAAAAAAGAGAACAAAGCTTATTGTTTATGTTGTTACTTGTTTGGAGATAGTGTGGGGCAAAAAGGGGGAAGAGATGTATTTATGACGGGAGGCTTTGATACTTGGAGTAAAAAGTGCGCATTTAAAACTCATGAGGGTAATGTTAATAGTTATCACAATAAAGCAAGACAAAAGTGTGAAAATCTAGAGAAGAAAAACCAATCAATTAGTGAAGCTTTTCATAAGCAAACCAAAGTTGAGGCAAGTAACTATCAAATTCGATTACGTGCTACAATTGATACTTGTAGATTTTTATTAAAAAACACGTTACCGTTTCGTGGTCATGATGAGTCGGATGGATCTCTTTCTCAGGGCCTTTTCCTTGAAGAATTAACATTCCTTCGGGACCATAACGAAAGCATTTATAATGTTACTTTAGAAAATGCTCCAAAAAATGAGAAATTGACGTCTCCGAAGATTCAAAAAGAGATTGTTCAATGCTTTTCAAAAGAGATAATAAAGTCCATTTGTGAAGAAATTGGTAAGGATGTGTTTGCTATATTAGTAGACGAGTCTAGTGACGTATCCAAAAAAGAACAAATGGCTATGGTTTTGCGATATGTTAATAACCTTGGAATAGTGAAGGAAAGATTTGTTGGAATTGTTCAGGTGAAGGACACGACTTCTTTAACTCTAAAAGAAGCCATTGATTCGGTATTTACCAACAATAACTTGAGTATATCTCAGGTAAGA